GGATTAAAAATCTGAACGGGCTATTCAATTTCAACCTTCTTTTCTAATAGCTTTCGGAGTTTAAATTTTTCTAAATAGTTACTGTATTTTTAACAATATTCCTCCAATGAATTCTATCTCCTTCTAATTTAACAAATAACAATTGAATAACGTAATAAACAGGGCATTATCAAATTTTCAAAGGGTCAAAAGGAAAGGAAGGGGAAACAACATTAAGCCCTAGTTCGATTTTGATTCTTTCATAATTGATTGTGTGAAAAAGTTATTTTTCTAAAAATGCGTAATTAGAAAGTAAGAAAAAGTTATTGGTCATTGTACAAATTATTTTATTCAGAAAATGATTTTGAAAAAAAATAAATAAATAAAACTGCTTTTAAAAACAAGAGCTTAATGTAATTGCTAGTAAAACAAAAAAAAAAAAAAAAAAAAAAAAAAAAAAAAACAAAAAAAGACTTTTGAAAACATAGTGAATACTAGAAAAAATGCCATTAGTCAATTAGAAATCTCGAATCACATTTAGACCATGTTTGTCATCAATTTTCTCTCATTCTTTCCTATTATTTTTTCTAGAGTACTTATTTTCAACCACACATTCTTCATTAAAATAATATTACACGTAAATTAAAAAATTTTCCTTCTTTTTTAACCACACATTTCAATATCAATCACTATTCCATAATACATTCTTCCCAAATAATTGATAACAAACACACCCTTATCCTCGTGATAAGTGCATTTTTGCACACTTATTAGATATTTTAACAACTAATGTGTCCAATCAATACATAAGAATAGGCAACCTGGAAGTTAGGTAGACCTATAGAGCCACCTCCGTCGTGCCGCTGCGTCTTATTTCTATAGTTGATTCCTCAAATTCTTCAATCCTATTTACTCCAAATTGGTGAATGGTGGTGGTTTGCATCATCGGCTGGCTTGAGATATGAAGCCGTTATATAATAACTGAGCTTGAACCTACGTAGCAGTTCAAATTATTGGACTCACGTGAGAGTAGTACGTAGGAATGTTGGATGAAATTATTGTCAGATATTCTTTTTGAAGTTTGAACTCTATTAATTATAATACAATTAGTCATGTTTGGTTCCATTTTACAATTTTATTTTTTTAAAACTCATTTTTAATCAAAATATTCTAATTAAATCACAAAATTTTAATCACACTCATTGTCTCAAAACCTCGAGTTTTCAATTATGTGGCGTGTCTTCATTTTAAAAGAGACCAAAATGATATGAAAAAATGATTTCACCTTCAATTGTTGTGTTCTAATCTTTATCTAATGCATTACTTTAGTTCAAAAGCACCTGTGAAATTATTTGAGTTGAACGATAACTAAACTACTTAGAGATCATTTTTCAAATTTATAAGTGATCAATAAAGATTAATAGTAGGGAATCCTAAAAAATATGTAGATACTAATAAAGTAAAAAATTATGAATAGCTGGTTAAAATTGCAAATTTTACTTGATTGAACGTTTTACCAACTGATAGATAAAAAACAAATTGTAAACTGTATTTATATAAATGTCTTACTATTTGGATTAAGGTGGAATATCATCCGTTAACTTTTTATCAACTCAAATGATTTAAAAAACATACCATAATTTAGTTGAAGTGACACCAAAATTTTTAATTGATAATCTTTTGAATGATGAATGAATGTCACTACTATATGACCGAAGCTAAAGAGAGTTTTAGAACCAAAAAATAAATGAAAAAAAAGTCATTGAATCGTGCCTTAAATGTCCGTCTATTCTACCTACTTAAACATTAATGGCTTCTCATCCGTGAATCTAAGTGATGTATGTCATAACCTTTTATATCGCATAATAGGAGATCATTAACGGAATTATGATAGGATTACCTCAATAATATAAACCAAAATTTGATTTAAAAGAACTCCGTTCAATTGCAAATGAAATTGCTGGCCTTGAGACCTTATCTATGGATTCCATTCGGAAATTGAAATGCTCACTGATGACAATATCTAGATGATAATTCTCTAGTTTGAAGTTCTTCTATCAAGGCCTTACTCTAAAGTAGGAAAATATAATCCAATCAAGCATCGTCAGGCAAGTATACGTGTCTATCAAAGAATCCTATACGTATCAAACAAGTGTATAGTTAGAAAACTACATCCAGTGGGCTAAATCATATTTTTTTTGGAATTGAGACCCAAATGAAATTAATATTGTATTTATGTTTGTTACTTTATTGTTTTCCGTAGTATCAAACGACACATCTGAAGTTTACTCTGTTGGAAGGGTTTGATGGGTCTCAAACGAACCTAAGAAAATAAAAGTTAAGATAGAAATTAAGAGAAAAAATGTGTTCTCTCAAAAACTCAACTTATATGATTTCATATTTTTCTCTAATAATCAAATAATGCAAATAAGCAACTTTTTTTTATACTATATTTGGTAAATAAGAATTAATTGCTAATACATAAACTAAACACTTATTTAAAATTCCTAGAAACAAGAATAGAACTAGATTCATCTATAATAACTCTAATGTATGTAGATCCATATTCATCAAGTCAAGATTCGTCAAGTCTAGACTAATATTCTAACATCTTCTCTTAATCTAGACTTGAATTGCACTTTTATCGCACTCGCTCAGTTCGAAGTATCCCCAACAATCTAGCCTCATCCAAACCCTCGTCCTTTCATCTTTCTCTTTCCCACCATTGCCTTGCTCGTCATCAGTATGGAATTGTTAATTGGCCCATCCCCCCTTCCCCACCTCATCGCACTCTCTAGATATTGTCTCTCTCTAATATAGATTTCTTCCTCATTTGTTTCCATTTGCTTGAGTCGCTTGTCATCAACAATCTTGACTTTACTTTTGGAGAGGATCATCCCAAATCGCAAAAATATCTTTATTGTCAGTCTAGTGATTACGACAACCACTTGTTAAGATAACTTTTTGTATTCAAAAAGCTAGCAAAAAAAGGGGGAAAAAAAAGCATCTTCATCATTATTTTGTTCCTCGTGTATGATTGACGTATTTTTGCCACCATTATTTCTTAAAAATATTTTTTCATACTTTTTAATCTATAAATTTTTTTAAATACGATGTGAAAATATTTTGTTATAAATTATTTTAACAGATTTTTTGACAGAAATTATTATTAAATACAAAATATGTTAACTAAAAATGTTGGAGGATAAGAATATCATAAAAAAATCAATAGGGACATAACTATTATAATGAATAAAGATTGAGAACCTTAAATGTAATTAAAATGGTGAAACGAATAAATTTGTGTTGTGAACATAATTCAGTAAAGCCAAATTGTCAAAAAAAAATTGACACTTTGCTTGATTTATTCTCACATGTGAGCCGGATTCAAGTGGGACCTGTGTGAATTTAAAAAACAAAAAAATGCCCCCCACCCACCACTATTGTAAGTGTATGTCAATTAGGATGTCAAAAAATTTCTAGCACCCGAGCATGATTGGAATATAATTATCCAAATAGAGATGACAAGAAAGATGGGGACGGGAGAGGAAGAAAACAAGAAATACGTCCAATCAATTCCCGACACAATGCAGTCCTGGAATTAAGGTAGACATATAAACCATCTCCACCGAGCTGCTGCGTCTAATTTCTAAAGTTGATTTCTCAAATTCTTCAATCCTATTTTGCTCCAAATTGGCGAATGGTGATGGTTTGCATCATCAGCTGGCTTGAGCTACGAAGCCGTTATATAAAGTTGAGCTTGAACCTAATAAATGTAGCACTTCAGATTTTTATCTATAGGCCTAATATGTAGGTACATATGAATGTTAGGACCCTGTTTGGTACTCATTTTTTTCAAAATGTATTTTTTTCTTTCTTCTTTTCAACCACACATTCTTTATTAAAATAATATTACACGTAAATCAAAAAATTTTCCTTATTTTTTAACCACACATTTCCCATTAATTTACTATTCAAAAATGCATTTTCACATAAAAATATCTACCAAACACCCTCTAGATGAAATTACAACCAGATACTTTGTTTGAAGTTTGAACTCTATTCATTTTGACACAATTAGTCAAGTTTGGTTCCATTCTACAATTTTATTTTATTTTTTAAATAACTTTTAATCAAATTTTTCTAATAAAATCACAAATTTTTAATCACACTTATCTTCTCAAAACCCCGAGTTTTCAGCTTTGTGGCGTATCTTCATTTTAAAAGAGAACCAAAATGATATGAAAAAATTGATTGATTTTCACTTTCAATTATTGTGTTTTAATCTTTAACTAATGCATTATTTTAGTTCCAAAGCACCTATGAAATTATTTGAGTTGAAACAACTTAGCCTAAGTGATTTATAAAGATTAATAACAGGGTATCCTAAAATAATGTCAAGCTAAAATTACAAATTGTACTTGATTGAATTTATAAATGTATTATCAACTGATTGCTAAAAACAAATTGTTTAGAGTCGTACACGTGAAAGATTAGTCTAATATTTGGATCAAGTTGGAATATCATCCATTCACTTGTTATCAACTAGAAATTTTTTTCAAAAAAAAAACCAAAATTTAGTTGAAGTGACATCAAAATTTTTAATTGACAATCTTTTCAGTGATAAATGGATGTCACTACTATATGACCGTAACTAAAGAGCATTTGAAACCACAAAAATAAAGGGAAAAAAAATTTGAGTCAGTGAATCATGCATTTTGATAAGTGTGTCTTGTGCATTTATTCGGAATACATAACTAGACTTTTATGTCGTCAAATTATTAATTTTTATCTAACTTGGGGTTAATTTTCTTTTATTTTTAGTTAGGGACTCGTTCGAAGCACTTGGAAAAGAAAGAATGATGAAAATAAATGAAATGAGCAAGTTTAGAGATCAAATTCAACACTTT